TCCGCCTCAACCCCAAGAAGTGCGCCTTCGGCGTCCAGGGCGGCAAGTTCCTCGGCTACATGGTCAGCCGGAGAGGCATCAAGATAAACCCGGAGAAGACACATGCTATCATCAACATGGAGCCGCCCCGCAACATCAAGGAAGTGCAGCAACTGACGGGGCGCCTGGCGGCCCTGAACCGTTTTCTCTCCAGGTCAGCCGAAAGGGCACTCCCCTTCTTTCAGATCATGCGTAAGGCAAATAGCTTCAAGTGGACGACGGAGTGCCAGGAAGCATTCGACGAATTAAAGAGGTACCTATCGTCCCCGCCCGTGCTCTCCAAGCCCAAAGCCGATGAAACCCTCTTCTTGTACTTAGGGGTGAGCACGTCGGCCATCAGCTCCGTACTCATCCGTGAGGATGAAGGGGTGCAGAAAGTCATTTTCTACATCAGCAAGACACTCAGGGAGGCCGAGCTCAGGTACTCCCCCATTGAGAAGACGGTGTTGGCCATCGTCCATACGGTGAAGAAGCTGAGACACTACTTCCAGGCCCATGCCGTCCATGTGCTGACCCAGCAGCCCCTCAGCGCACTCATGAGGAGCCCCACCAGCTCCTCTAGGATGGTGAAATGGGCAATCTTCCTTAGCCAATTTCAAATTGAAATCAAGCCAAGGCCATCTATCAAAGGGCAAGCCTTGGCCGACTTCATCACTGAATGCACAGCAAGGGAGACGGCCGTCGCCAACCCCGGGCCGGAGCCGGACGATACATGGATCCTATTCACTGACAGCTCGTCGGCCGCGAAATCATGCGGTGGCGGCGTCGTCCTCATATCCCCTGAAGGATTCAGAGCTTACTATGCCATCCGCTTCAACTTCAGGGTATCCAACAACGAAGCCGAGTATGAGGCCCTCCTCAGCGGTCTCAGACTCGCCGCCGGCCTCAAGGCTAAGCACCTCAAAATCAAGTGCGACTCCAAATTGGTAGTGGGCCAGGTGGAGGGATCGTACGAAGCAAAAGAGGGACGGATGCGACAGTACAAACAGGCAGCAGAGGAGTTACTGAAAGCGTTTGAAACCCACGAGATCACTCAGATCCCAAGGGCCGAGAACGCCGAAGCCGACATCCTCTCCAAACTCAGCTCGGACACCCCGGAGCACATCTCCCAGTTGGCCAAGGTCGAGGAGTTGAGCATGTCCAGCATCCATGCCAGCCCCGTCTTGTGCGTCCAACAACGACCAGAGGACTGGATCTCCGACATCGTCACCTTCATCACGACGGGGGAGCTGCCCCCGGACGAGGAGAGGGCCAAACTTGCCAAACTTAGGGCCCCAAGCTACACCATTGAAGATGGTAAACTCTACAAACGATCCTACAATGGCACTCTCCTCCGATGCCTGCACCAGGACGAGACCGACATGGCCATGGAAGAAGTCCATTGTGGCGTCTGCTCCTCGCACCAGGGCCCTTTCAGCATGTCCCGACGTCTCGTCGTCCAGGGCTTCTTCTGGCCGACGATGGCGCGAGACTGTGCGGACCTGGCCAGGAGGTGTACCACGTGCCAGGTGCTCCAGAAGGCCCCTGGTCGGCCAGCCATCAACTACGCCCCCGTCAGCACCGCAATTCCATTCTCCAGATGGGGGATTGACCTGGTCGCCCCCCTGCCCAGAGCCGCCGGGAACAACCGCTACATTATCGTCGCTATCGACTACTTCACCAAGTGGGTCGAGGCGGAACCCCTGGCCAGCATCACGGGGGCCAGATGCCAAAAATTTGTTTACAAAAACATCATCACACGCTTCGGCGTCCCCCAGGAGATTATATCAGACAACGGCACCCAATTCGAGGCAGCCCCTTTTCAGGAGCTCCTCCGGGAGTTTGGGGTGAAGCATCGTTTCTCCTCCGTTGCCTATCCTCAGGGCAACGGGCAGGTCGAGAACGCCAACAGGACAATCATGGAGGGGCTAAAGAAAAAACTCCAGGCCGCAGGAGGTAGTTGGGTTGACGAGCTCCCCAACATCCTGTGGTGCTACAGAACTACGCCGAGGAGGGCGACAGGTGAAACACCTTTCGCCCTATGTTACGGTTTTGAGGCAAAGGCACCCACGGAAGTTGCCATCCCCAGCCGACGGGTGGAACAATACGAGCCTGACGCCAACGAAGAAAACATGAAGATCGACCTGCACCTGGTCGACGAGAGGCGTGAGCAAGCCTACGTCCGAGCAGAGAACTACCGGCGTCAAGTAAAATCATACTATGACGCCAAGGTACGTTCCCGGGAATTTCAAGTGGGGGACTACGTCCTCTGTCGAAGGGAAGCAAGCCAGCCGACAGAGGGTGGCAAGCTAGCATTGAAGCACGAAGGGCCCTACATCGTCAGTGCCGTGGTCAAACCCGGCACCTACAAGCTTAAATGCCCGAATGGGTCCAATGTACCACGAACGTGGAATGTACACCATCTGGTGAAGTTTTATCAGTAATCCGAAGGAGGTGCAGACGGCGAAGCCCTCACCCCTTAACGGGTTACTGATTGAACGCCACCCTCGGCCTCGAGCCACTTATGAATAAAATCATGTTCTTGATTTTTCTTTGGAATTTAAAGTAAAACATTAGCAGGTGCCCTCATCGGCCACCTTAGAGCGAAAGGCTCAGGCATGGCCGAAGTGGCACCTTGCATTTGTAGCCTACGAGCGACAAGCTCAGGCACCCCATTGTATTTTGTATCAGCGAAGGGCTCAGGCCTAGCTGAGAGAGCACGTCGTCCTGGCCCCGTAAGCCTAGAAGTGAAACGCTCAGGTATGGCCGACGATGTCCCCAGGACGAGGGGCCCGCAAACGGCCCACGTCTTGAAACGGGAAGCTCACCGCGTCGTCCACGCGCCAGATCGCAGGACGACAGGCCTGAAATCATGGCCGAGGTGACAAAATCCCAAAACTCAGGGATGGGCAACGACAACCGTTGGAAACCGACCAAAAGTCTAGCCCGCGTCATAAATAGGCGCCGGGACCCGCCCTGAGACCACAGACGGTATAAACGAAGTCCGAACCGACCGAAGGACGAGCACACCCTTCGGCCGAAGCCTGAAAGAAGGATACTCCCCTGAAATAGGGAACGCAAAAAAAAAAGAGGGAAGCCGAGGACCGCGCGCCCTTGCCGGCCTCGAGCAATAGAAAAATAAAATCCCCACAACCCCGGCCAAACTTGGCTAAGTACATATCAGTTGAACACAAATGTAGTACCACTAAAAGGTGACATGGACGATACAGCCACTCGTCCACCACAGACAAGGGCATCGTCAAGGACGAAGCACACGCCTATAAAACCCCTAACCAGTGGTTGGGTGACACGCGAGTGGCAACCTTCATCGGCCATAGCTCTTTGAAGCATCAACACTTGGTAAAAAAAAAAGAGAAAAAGAGTTACAATCCTGAAAGATGACCAGGACGAAGCGGGCAGTATCACATCCGCGTAAGAATCAAGCAATCAAGGAACAATCCCTACTGGCCACAGCATCCCGGAAGGCCGGTACAGGCACTGAAACCCAGGCTGTGGGTCAAGCGTAAGTTCTTTGGGGATTTGTTCATCTGTTTACCAAACACTTAGAAAAAATTCTGAGGAAAAAGTTTCCTCAAGAAGGAGCTATGTCTTAGCCGATGAAGGTAGGGCCATCTTTTTGGGAAAGCAAGGGGCACCCTCATCGGCCACAAAGCCAGACCTTGGCCGATGAAGGTAGGGCCATCTCTTAGCCGGCAGTGGTACCGCAAAGAGGGAACTATGTCTCGCATTTATACTTAGAAAAATCTCTAAGTACGTAAATGGAGAAACTCTAGACGAAGCGGGTACCTGTATAATCGAAGGTCGTCAGCTACCTACGTCTTGCATGTGTACTTAGAAAAAATTCTATGTTTGAAAAACTAAGTTCAAAGTACCCTTATCGGCCACAACACAAGGATCCAGGCCGACCTTCCTGATCAGGTCAAGAACGAGGGAACACGACGGCCATGAAAAACACTGGGCCGACGACGACATTGGTTCAACACTTGGGAAACCTCCCAAATCATTTGTCAATGAGAGATTCAATACCAGGACGATGAGAACACCCGTCTACTTGAAGTTAGACACTTAGGAAAATTCTAACAAAAAAAAGAAGAAGGGGACAATACAAAGACGCAGCGGACACCTCAGTCTGCCCGCCTCAGTCAGGACGGAAAGAAAGACACTAGGATATATCCTATCTAAGTGGATCCAAAACACTTAGGAAATTTTTGACTAAATCCCAAGTGTTACAACAGCGAAGAAACACCGGACAGGCCGACCAGGCCACCAGACTGAATGGGCTACCTCATGGACGTGGCAGACACTCGCGGGTGACCTAAGTTGTGATTTTTACACTTAGACAAATTTCAAAACTGAAATAGCAAAAGGGAATAGACATGCAAGACATTCAAAGCCGAGCAGAACAGCAAGACGATTCATTCATAAACAATTAAGTACAATGGTGGGCGCTTCGGCCATTACATCAAGTGGGCAAAAATAGAAAATTAATTACAAGGGAGCAGGGAGTAGCCGATCAAGCCTCTTGGGCGCCTCCATCCTCGGCTGGCTCTTCGACATCTTCGGCTCCCTCCTCGGCCTCAATCTCCTGGTCAGCGGCAGCCGCAGAACTGGTGGCATCGTCCAGGAAGTCAAACTCCGTGTAATCCGGCTCGCCGAGGCCGGAACTCTCGATTGGGGACTCCCGCTCCGCAAGAGGAAGCTTGGCCTGCTCCTCGGGATCTTTCATCAGCTTGGGAAGCTTCAAGTTCCGCCTAGCCCACCCGGAGGTATAATTCATGGCTTTGAGGGCACGCGATAGCCGCCGACACAGGAGCCTCTGCATCCGCTCTTGGCCCATATTGTAGTACACGGCCATCTCCCTGCTAAAATACTCCTGGCCGGCTGGGGAGTTCATTCCCCAATCTTCAAGCTTGGCGGCCACTACCTCATAACACCAGGAGAGCCGCTCATCGGCCTTCCACCCCTCGGCCAAGAACTGCTTAACGGCCTCATCAGCGGCCTTCACAGCGGCAGCCTCGGCCTCAGCTTTTGCCTTCACGGCTTCATCGTTTTTGCGCCGTTCGGCCTCAAGCGCCCTCTGGCTCTCCTCGAGTTTGGCCAGGGCATCGTCCCTGGCTGCAGCGGCCTCGTCGGCCCTCTGTTGCAAGGCCTTGGCATCCTCCCGGAGCCGATCCAAGCAGGCTACCGCCTCATCGGCCGAGGCAGCCTTCTGCTCAAGCTCTTTCAGACGAGCAATCTCCCGGTACTGCCTCTTGTGGCTCTCCATGAGCATGAAGGCACCCTGCACAAAAAAGGCAAACAAAACTCAGGCAAACAATTCCACCCGGATGACGAGAAAAACGACAAATAAAAAGGAAGGAAACTTACTTGGACGAGGAGGTCCATCCCGCCTTCATACACCTTGACGTCCCCAAGCCTCTTGAGGTAGGCCCGATCTTTGGCTGGCATGGCCTGGGCCAGCACATCGTGGCCGAGGACGACGTCATCAAAAACACCCCCGCCGACGGGGTATTCCACCATCTTCTGGTAGGTGGCAGCGGCAATCTCCTTGCCGGCCCTCTTCGTCCGTGGCTCCTGGACGAGAGGGAGCGATTGGGCAGCATCGCTTGGAGCAGCAGTAAGGTCCACAACGGGACCACTATCGTCCACACTTGGGACGGTCAGAGTGCCGGCCTCAGTAGCCTGGGAAGGAGACGGTGCCCTCTTCGTCTTCTTAGTGACGTTCAGGCCGGCCTCGGTCAATTTCTTCTGGCCGTCAGTGGGAGGCCTCTTCTTCTTGGACTGGGCAGGCTTCGGGGCCGCACCAGCAGTAGCCCCGCCCCCCTCGGCCGCAGCACGTCTGGCCGCCTCGGCCGCCTTTGCAACCAACTCCTCGGCCGCCTTGGCATTGGCTATAGCCATGATTGAACGGCGATCCATGGCAAAATCTACACAAAGGAAAACGAATAGATTAGCAAGGCAAAAGAACAAATAACAAAGGAAGAAAGCTGAAGAAAGAATTACCATCGGCCTCAGCAGGAATGCCCAAATCCGGGCCGTCAGCCTCTTCGAAGGTAGTGGTCATCCTCAGCCAAAGTTGGACATCGTCCTCCTTGTCGCCGTACACATAGTATCTTAAGAAGCCGAGGGCGGTCATCTTGTATTCGATGATGTAGTCCTTCATGCTCCTCGACCCCCCTTCAAAGAACCTCCCGGTATGGCCGAGAGAGGGAAACTCGGTGCCGTTCTCACCAAGGGATACAAAAACGAACTTGCTCTTCCATCCATGGATGGATGAAGGCAAATCCGTGAAGCTCCTCTTCTTCGGCAGCTGTTGGAGGGTAGCATAGGCCGCACAGTTTTTGTGGCTTCCTCGGCCTATCTGATACAGATTCATGAACAGAGCCGTCTTCGGCCTGTAGCCCAGCTCCTCACAGCGGAGCAAGAACCCCACCACCAATGAGTAGCTGTTCGGCGTCAGCAAGGCCGGAGGGAGCCCCACCATGTCAAGATACTCGGTGATGAAGGGATGAAGGGGAAACCTCATCCCCCTGGCGAAACTCATCGGGTATACTCCAAAGTATCCCGGGGGCGGATGAAGTACATGGTCCGTCGGCCTGGGTGCCCTAACCTGCCCGAACGGCCCCACGTACATCTGGGCAACCAAATAGTCAGCCGCGCTGCTCTCCGGCTTGATCAGGAAGATATTTGTGAGATCCAGGTAGGAGACGCCCGACCCACTCTTCGGCCTCCTTAATCTCGTCGGCTTATCTGCTCCCTTCACGGCAGACACCGGTCTCGGGCATGGAATAACAGCGGAAGTGGACGCCCCGTCCACCACTCGGGACGCACCTGCGTCCTCACCTTTTGAAGACGAGGCGGACTCCTCGTCCTCAACTTCGTCGTCCACCGGCTCTCCGGACTTGTAAGGACTTAAACATTCTATCTCTTCCTCGAACTCCTCAAGCACCTCATAGTCGAGTGACCTAGTGGAGGGCTGGTCGTCGTACGGATAGTACTCTTCATCTAAGCTCTTCATCATAACAACTACTACGAGCCTAAGGGGAATAACTTAGGATCTAAGGGTGTTCAAGCGCCTAACACTAGATCACTAGCCTAGGAAGCAAAGTATGCAAAGTACAGAAGATTGCGATGAACACTAACCTTGAACACGAAGAACACGAAGAACACGAGCTTGGGAGTTTATCTCTCTAGAAATTTGGCCAGCACTTCGACAACTCAGAATGCAAATGAGGTTTCTCGTCGGAGGGGGAGGGGTATTTATAGAACCCCCCACCCAACGGTCACTACACGTGGCACCCTCCCAATGGCCACATAAACGGCCACCAATGGGAGGCCACCACGTCACCAACGGGCCGGGCCCAACCTACATATCAAGAGCCCACTGGCAAATCAGACTCTACGGCCTATACGCTTGCCGGTTTCACAAGTGCCAGCAAGCGCCCACAACGGACTATTTGCTTGCCAAGATCACAAATGCCAACAATAAGGGGATGACAATGGCTAGGAACGTAATGAACGCCCGTAACGGCCAAAGAACCAAAGGAACAAAGAACCCACAGCCATCTGCTCCTCGTAACGACCCTTGATGATAACTCTTTACAAGCGATCTGCGCACAAGGGTTCTCCCACAGGGTTACCTTGGCCAGAAAATCGCCATGAGGGTTGGATTCAGGGGCACTACGGAGAGGCCGCTTCGGCCAGGGACTCAAGCAACTCCTTCACCCCTCACTCTCTTCGACCTGAAGCAGTGGGGGACTTGGGGACTACATCGGCCTCAACAAAACAAGAGGAAAAATACAAACACGAATGTAATCACAAAGCATAGTCACATCGTCCATGTATCACAACGGCGCCTCGTCGGCCAAAGGCACATAACATCATCAGCAACGGCCAACAAGCCACCTAAGGCAAGGACATTCGTCGTCCCTTGCCAACAGTTAACCATAATGGGCTCTTCGGCCAGGGACATGAAAGCCAGTCAACGACGGCCAAGAAGAGTGCGCAAGCACCCTTACCGGCCACCCAAAGGAAAGGACACCATCGTCCTCAATGCAAGGTTCAACCTCAACCATCAACGTCCAAGAAAGGGAAAGCGCGCCCTCAACGGCCACCATTGAAGCGGGACACTCATCGTCCCCAAACGAACACATCAAGGAAACAACGGCCTCCCCGTCCACAACGAGGAGCAGGTAACGGCCAAAGCACAAAACAAAACCACCAAAACGGAAACAGCGTCAACGCCGCAATAGCTAAACGGCCTGGGAGTGCCCGCATCGGCCAAAAGTGCCAAAACACGGGAATCTACTCTCCTTCACTTCGTCTACGTCTCAGCTTAGAGAGTGGGGGACTCCTGATGGAGTATATGGGTCTGAGCCCCCGGACCCACATACTCGAAGAACAGAAAACGCAAGACACAGAGTGGCGCCCTCGTCGGCCAAGGGACCCAAGATGTCTCTTTATACTCATTTGAGTATAAGAGCCCAAGATTTTAATTTCGGCGAGATTTTTTTTAGTATTTGGCGTCGTTGCCGGAGACGGTGTCGGTTTTAAGGATTTTTCTTTGCTAACTATTCAGGTATTTTCTAAGAGACATGAGATGAACCCATGCATTCATCTTAATTCCTGGAGTAACATCATTCCCTCAAACCTCCATGGAATATTCACCATATACGCCATACTCTCCTCATCAATATTACCCTCATTACACCCCTCACCAATATCACCCTTCCCCACCACAAAATTTTCAGTCTTTTTATTCTTACCCTCCTCCAAATGTGCAACATTCTCAATCTCAATTCTCTCGTCATTATGCTTATTCACAATATCCTAGGGTGAAACCAGACTCCATTCTTGAATATTTTGTTCAAATTAAAAGTCCTGAGGAATTGGTTGATTGCTTTCCTAAAAATAGCATTTGTTCCTTCTCTGGAGGAGGTCACCATTTATCTTTTTGCCTCATTCCTCCAAATGACTATCCTTACTGGGTAACTGCATACCCCATTTCGTCCTCCCCACAAATTAGGAGCACAAATGTTCCAGTCGTTCCCACATCCTTGCCAAATAATGAGCCACAGGAGACCGCATCAACTACCCTCGACCGCATCACTGGGATCGATCCCTCGACCTCTCCGATAGGAGACCGCATCAACAACCAATTTGCCAGCACGATTGGTTTGTCAGTGTAGAGCTCGGAATAATAATATAACGTTTCTAATTCTCATTAACTCTAATAATAATAATAATAATCATTATTAATAAAAAATGTCAGTTCGGTTTGGTTTGAACCGATTTTTCAGGAATATAAACCGACTCCGAACCATTTTTTTATCGGGTCCCAATTTTCAGGTTCCATTTTCAATCGGTTCGGTTCGGTTTTTTCCGTTCGGTTTTTCGGTCTAAAATGCCAGCCCTAGTACTGACCCCTCGGGGGATCACCATTTCAGGTTGAAGTTTGAGCTTACTTCCTGCACTCATTGTTCGGGAGATCGATAGAGAGAAGACGTGGTTCGTGCTTCCTCCGATTCTATTTCTAAGTAAATAATGACTATTCATGGAACTATTTTGACTCATAAATTAATGGATCCCGCGAGTTTGGTTTTCCTTATGTGGGTTCTTATTAAACATTTATATTCTGGTATATGTTTAATTGTATGTGATGTTGTTATTCTTCTCGCGTAAGATTATCTCGGGCAATCAATCAAATAATATCTTCATAATAAATTATTTTAAATCTCTCGATTAAACATCTACCATTACTTCTAAGATTTACATCATTGAGTTTCTAGAAGGTCATTCTCTTATCTAAACTCCATAATTTCTTATATATTGATGAATTTGCTATTTCTTAATTAGTTAATATTTTTATATCTTTAGATCATTTGTTTTATTGCAGTTTTCCACAATAACTCAGAAATCATCAAGCATAGGTGCATTTTCAAATTCCTAAGCATATCGGGAGATTTTAACAAGTAGGAGCAAAACGTATGGATTTTCCAAAACTAAGACAGAAGATTAGCGTAACACTCAACTACACCTGCATTGACCACAATACCCTTGTTTTTAGAAAATAACAGACATTAGCTAGACAATAAATAGACAATAAGTAGAAAATAAATAAACAAAAGTCAGATTAAAAAATAAAAAACCAAGCCTCAAAGTTCCAGATCTGAGTTTTCAGATTGTAGATAGAAATGAAAAAAACAAATGAAGAAGAAAACAAAGGAATAAGGAGGATGTCGTAGGTTGGAGGAGGAAGAAAAGAAAAGAAAAGAAGAAGAATAAGAGGAAGGAGGAAGAAGAAGAGATGATCGAAAACCTGCTATCCACTTTACAATCGAAATCGGCAAGGAGATCCGGCGATGGTGGAGGTGAAAC